TCCATTTGTCTAAATTTATTTTCAAATAAATCTATTTAAATAACATTAGTTTAACATTGGTTATTAATTAGGCCTAACTTATAAATAGGCCTAACTCTTCCACATAGGAAACATGGAGATATCAGTTAGGATATAGTTCATATCAAATTTATCAGTCTAAAATATCAGTTTTACTAGTTAAGTAACAAGTAGGCCTAACAATAAATTTTTTAGTCTTGTGTTACCAAAATAGAATCTCGTCTCGTGGAACGAGATAAAAACTTTCCGAAAATTTCGAGACCCGTCCATCCCTAACAATATCACAATTGTGCAGTATTCATATTGTAGTTTTTGTATACAAAATTGCAAATTATAACTTCGTAACCTTAATATTTATTTAAGTAGGCCCCCTACTTCAACATCAAACTATCAGAACCTCTAACTATCCGATCCGATACAAAATAAAATTTCACTATCCGCACACCTCTTCTATAAATATAACTTTTGAAAACCCCTCTTATTTCAATGTTTTGAAGTTAGAGATCCATACAAATAGAAATGGAAAGCACTTGATGTTCAAATGTTCACATCAAAATGCTTTCAACTCTCATATAATTTATGAGATTATGCCACTGTTATGTATCAAGAAATAAGTCCATATGTTTTATTTATAACATCTGTCAGATGACTGTTTATATTATTATGTTTTGTTTACTTTTTAGTTGAGTCTGATTTGTGAGTTCAATAAATTCAGTTGTGTTAATTATGTTTTAATTTACTAAACTGGCGACGAGGATAATTGGATAATGGATCTCAATAAGCCTGATCGTTTTGACCCCCATACAAATCCTGCAAGTGTCGCACAGTGTTGGGGTACTTGGATTAAGCAATTTGAGAGGTATGCTTTAGCTGCAGACATTACCAGTGATGTAAGGAAAACTGCACTAGTACTTAATCTAGCTGGTGAGGAAGTGGCTTACATTTTTGACAGTTTACCACAACCTAATGAAATAACGTACAAATATGTTATAAAACTATTAACTGACTATTTCGCTCCTACCAAAAATGTCCTTTTTGAAATATTTAATTTTAGGAAGTGTCATCAAGCAGAATCAGAGTCGTTTAACTCTTTCTATTCTCGACTAAGAACATTAGCTGTGAACTGTGAATTCAAAGACTTGGATAGGGAATTAATTATGCAAATTTTGATTGGATCTAGAAGTGATGAGTTAAGGAATAAAATTTTGAAAGAACCTACTATTAAACTTCAGGATGTTGTTATTGCAGCTAAGTCAAATGAATTATTTCAAACTCAAAGTAAGGAACTTTCTTTCAGTAGCTCAAGTTTTGCTAATGCACATAAAATTGACCATTCAAACAGGAAATTTGTTGCATTTAACAACAATCCAGCTCACTCTGTTACACCTAATGTTTGTCTTGGTTGTGGACTAAGACATTTTAGAAGGGATTGTCCCCATCTTCAGACTACTTGTAATATTTGTAAGAAAATTGGGCATCTAGCACGAGTTTGTAAAGGAGGGAAACCACGCCCCAAAGAATATTTTAGGTCAGACTAATGTTTATGTGAAATACGGTAAGTTCAATGGTTTCCTTCCGTTAGTCATAACTGAAGGTAATAGAAATAGTTTATTGGGGCGTAATTGGCTAAAAAGTCTTAACATTGAAGTAAACGGAGTACTTTCAATCAACTGTCATGAATCTGAAGTTCTTTGTAAAGCTCAGCTGGATGTTCAACATCTGAAAAGTGAATTTTCCGATGTATTTTCAAATTCTTTAGGGTGCTATAAAGGACCTCCAATCGAACTGAAAATTGACCAGAATTATAACCCAATTCACTTAAGAGCGCGCCCTTTACCTTATGCATTGCAGGCCCCAGTAGAAGAAGAGCTGAATAAGTTAGTTAATCAGGGAGTGTTAGAACCTGTTCAGGTATCGGATTGGGCCACACCAATTGTTGTTTCCGTAAAAAGCAATGGTAAAATACGAATTTGTGGTGATTATAAGGCAACGTTAAACAAAGCTATCCAAGATCATCTGTACCCTATTCCACCAATCTCTCAGCTCTTAGCAAACTTAAACCAAGGGAAATATTTGGCTAAGTTAGATTTAGCCCAAGCTTATCAACAGCTGGTTGTTGACGAGAAGTCGGCACTAGCTCAGACACTAATTACACACAAGGGTGCTTTTAAACCAAAAAGACTACAATTCGGTATTAGCTCAGCTCCATCTATATTTCAACATTTTATTGAGGGTTTGCTTTCGGGCTTGGACAATGTAATCCCTTACTTTGATGATATTTTGGTTAAAGCAGGAACAATACACGAATTGATTACCACATTAAGACAAGTATTCACTCGTTTTAGAGATGCAGGGATTACACTCCAAAGCGAAAAGTGTTCTTTGTTATCTACATCAGTTGACTTCTTGGGATTTGTTGTGAGCTCTGACGGAATTCGTCCTAACCCGGACAAAGTCAAATGCATTCAAGATGCTCCTGAGCCGACTAACAAGGAACAACTGCAGGCATTTTTAGGTTTACTTAATTTCTATCACTGTTTTTTACCCAACAAAGCCAATGTTGCAGAACCTTTACATCGCTTATTGGACAAAAATGTTAAATGGCGGTGGGAGGAAAAACATAAACTTGCTTTCAATGTTTCAAAGAAGCTCCTTTCTTCCGATAGTATACTGGCTCATTACAATCCCTCCAGCCATCTTATACTAACTTGTGATGCATCTCCTTATGGTATTGGTTGTGTGCTTAGTCAGGTTCGAGGGGAAAAGGAAGTTCCAATTGCGTTTTATTCCAGGACAATGAGTCAGTCAGAACGAAGATATGCTCAAGTAGATAGGGAAGCACTTTCCATCATTGGAGGGGTTAAAAAATTCCACAATTACTTATATGGGAGGCATTTTGAAATTAGAACAGATCATAAGCCACTTCTGGGTCTTTTCACTGTGGATAAACAAACACCAAACACACTGTCACCTCGAATGATTCGCTGGAGTATCCTTTTAAATGGATATGACTTTGATCTTGTATACAAACCAGGGATTTCTATTCCGAATGCTGATGGTTTGAGTCGTCTTCCATGTTCCTCCAATGTTGTTGATCAAGAGATAAATGAAGTCTTGAATGACGTGCTATACATTGAATCCGATGAGGTTAAACCAATCACCGCTAATATAATAGCAAAAGAAACAGAAAAGGATCCACTTCTATCTAAAGTACTATTATGGACTCAACGTGGTTGGCCAACTCATAACTCAGATCTCAACCTTACGCCTTTCATTTCTCGTCAAAATTCAATTTCTCAATACAAACAATGTTTACTTTGGGGAACTAGGGTGATCATTCCATCCACTCTCAGGCAACAAGCTCTGAAGCTTCTACACATGGGACATGAGGGCATTGTTCGAACAAAGGCGTTGGCTCGAAGCTATTTCTGGTGGCCAAAACTTGATCAAGACATAGAAAACATAGTGAATTCTTGTCAAGCATGTCAACAAAGTCGTCACAACCCTCCAAGAGCAACAGTTCTTCCCTGGGAGAAAACGAAACAACCCTGGTCTCGTCTCCACATAGATTTCGCTGGGCCCTTCCAAAACAAGTTGTTTTTGATTGTTGTCGATTCTTTCAGCAAATGGTTAGAAGTAGTTTTGGTGCCTTCTACAGATTCAAGATCAACTATAAAGGTCCTCAGAAGCCTTTTCGCAACACATGGTGTTCCAGACACAATAGTATCTGATAACGGGTCGGCTTTCACTTCACAAGAATTTCGATCGTTTAATGAAAGCAATGGCATCCGCCACGTCGTGGTTGCACCATACCATCCGTCATCGAATGGTCAGGCAGAAAGGGTGGTCCAAACGACAAAAAATTCTTTGCGACGAATACTTCAAGGAGATTGGCAAAAAAGATTGGCTCAGTTCCTAATATCATCTCATATAACGCCAAATTGTTCTACTAATATGTCACCGAGTGAACTGCTGTTCGGAAGGCGTATTAGAACCATCTTAGACAGAGTTCACCCAGATTATTCTTCAAGTGACAAAGAAGAGAAAATCTTGGATAAAGCACTTCACGATTACCAACAGTCACCTCAGAGGAAATTTAAAGAAAATGACTCCGTATTTGCAAGAAACTATAATCAGCGAGGACCAAAGTGGATTCCTGCTAAAGTCACTAGAATAACCGGGCCGCTGAGCTACCATTTGATAACAAAAGAAGGCATTGAAATACGACGTCATATTGACCAATTGAGACCTCGCTCAGAAACATCAAAAGCATCTACTAACTCACACTTGGATAATCCTGAATCTCCAGTAAACCCACCATTCCACCCACTACTCCAGAATCCTATTCAAATGAGAACACCAGAAGCACATCATATCACTCCAGTGCGACCACCATCAATGGTTCGCAATCCTATTATGATGAGAACACCAGACGTACAACCAATGCGACCATCAGTGATGCAACAATCTCGCAATTCCTTTAGTGGTATAGAAGGTTCAATTAACCCTCATCAAGAAGATGCTGGTTTCAACGTTTCTGGTTTAATTCAAGACTCCACTAGTATGAGCACGAGTCCACAACCTGTTCGGTCACAGGTCTCTAGATCAAACTCCCAAAACACTTCAATGAGCATGAGTCCTCGACCTGTTCGTATCCGTCGACCACCGGCATATCTGAAGGACTACCTAACGGGGGGAGGAGTGTTATGTATCAAGAAATAAGTCCATATGTTTTATTTATAACATCTGTCAGATGACTGTTTATATTATTATGTTTTGTTTACTTTTTAGTTGAGTCTGATTTGTGAGTTCAATAAATTCAGTTGTGTTAATTATGTTTTAATTTACTAAAGCCACACAGCAAAAATGTGTGTTTAAAGAAGTCACATGCTGAGTTCTAATATCAAGTTTTTAAATAATGAACAACTATTTGTAAAGGGTGATAGTGTCAGTATTATTAAATGAAATGTCTTAACTTGCAGGCAAACGCAATGATCTGCGGCATGGACTCTTATCACGATACAAAGAGCAAGAACCGGTCAGTCGCAGGTTTTGTGGCGTCCATGAACAAGGAAGTGACAAAGTGGTTTTCTCAGGTATTCATCCAGTCTAACAATCAAGAGCTGCTAAATGGAATACACGAGGCAATGTGCCAAGCTATCCTAAATTACTATGAGGTAAGTTGATACATTAATCTTGCGTTATAATACATATGATGGAACCTGTCTCCTGACTCTCCATCTTGCTGGGATTATCCCGGGCTTTCTACCATTAACCAGTACCAAGGTTGACAGGAGAAGCGGAAGACAAATTCCATCATACAGAATACAAGGAAAACAATATAATGATGTTACCTATATACTATTATATAATTGAGGTGGTGTCTGTTTGTCTGTGCGGCTGCCACGACTAAAATACTAAACCGATAAAGCCAAAATTAAACACACTGATAGTCCACATATCTAGGAATGTCATGGCCTATTCACTTCCCTGAGTTCCTCTCCACTTGGAAGTCCAAAGTTTTGAGGTGAGGTTTTCAAAAGTATACATTAATTGGTCTCCATGGGAGCATGAGAAAATGCACAACCTTTGTTTAACTTTGAGTTGACATTTCAATGTAAACAATCAGAACTGTTGAATGCTTATTTGACAATTTCATACAGTTGATCCAAACAAATAGAATAAAATAATTTACACAATTATTTCTAAAACTGTGTCATTGATAATGAAATTAAAGAAAGATTCTATCGTAAGTTATGCCAATTATGTTATCAATACATTTTAATGTTAATAGTAAGACAATTCAATGTAGGTCATACTTTTTTGTATAAATTTGGCGGTGTAGTATATCTTCCCTTAAAACTTTAAAAAATAAATTGAATTTTAAAACTGAATTAAATTTTTTTCTATACACTTAGCCTACTTATCAATTCAACAAAAAGCATCATAAAAAAATATTAAATACCTTAGATTAAAAAAAAAAAATTTGATGTTTATTTTTGACGTTAATTTGAAATTTGATGTTTCTTAAGGTTCTTATGGTTTGTTTTTAGAGAAACAACCGACACCCAGACACTATCATCGTATTCAGAGATGGGGTTGGCGACGGACAGTTGAGGGTATGTGAAGAATTGGAGATTGGATCATTAAAGAAGGCATTCAGCTCAATCTCTCCAGACTACAACCCCTCTCTTTGTTTCATCGTGTGCCAAAAAAGGATCAATACTAGAATCTTCCTACCCAAGGTTACTACAGTATTAAATCATTTTAGATTGTGATATGAACCAATAAAATGTTTCATTAATCATATTTTTCCTACCACTGCATGGAAATGATCACATTACCATACCTGTATGCAAAATAGCTCATTTCCGCTCTAGACCGGGAATAACCATTCCCACTCGCTAAATCACTAATTCAGCTGATTTCAGTAGTGGCATTTCTTTAAAACACTAACATTCGGTAAGCAAATTACATAACCTAAAAAAACAATCATAACCTTAATGGCATACACAATTAAAAAGTTAATCTGTATGTTATGATAAGTTTGACAAGTTAATCATGGTTCTAGGAAAAAATCTTGTGTTTGTGTTACGAGCATAAACAGTCATTGCCCGTCTTGAAATATATGGCCAAACCTCCCAGCTAAAGCTATGTGCGACCATCTTCAGTTCTAGAGCGGCAATGGCGGAACTTTGTGCTTAGGTGTCTCAATCCCGGGATTTTGGTGTTTGTATCAGCCAAACCCAGGATTATATTATTTTATGATTTTAACTTGTTAGCCATTTTAAATGAGGGAAAAGCTAAGTCCTTTAATGTTTTAAACTGGCCTTTACAGTGTATAAATATTAATATGTCACTCTAGAATAACATAAATCAAAATATGAAGATAAAAAGATAATATGGGAAGAATCGCGAGTAGCAGCGTACAAATTTTATTTTGACTTACAGCAATAAAACAATATAAGGTACTGTAAAACAATAAACCATCTGCTTATGTAGTAGTGTGTGTATGAAAAACTTAATTTAGGATTGTAAAAAATTTAACCACCACACTAATAACTAAATACGAAAATAAAGTTATAGATGCTAAATATAAGCAATCTTAATAATGAAATAATAATGGTGTGTTTATGGTTAATGTTTAGGGATTCAATGTTACTAAGAAAATTATACCTCAGCCAGGTTACAGGTCAAGGTTAACAGAGACCGAAGCAATGTAAGATTTTAGATTACGAATTGGTTTACAATTAAATAATAAGCACAAACAAAAATTGATCTCACAAATATTAAACATGAATCTGTGACAGTTAATTTATGTATTAAAACATTAACTTCATGTGCTTGAAACTGAGACCAATAACAATATTGGCATGCTTAGCGTAATGTTTTTTTTTCTTTTTCTGTGGAGGTAATTTAAACAAGGTTTGATGTTTCAGGTTTACGCTATGGTTTTTAAGTGAAATCAGGATCTAATAGAATAATTACACAATAACAAGTCACAAAACATATCACTGATATTTTTTCCTAATTTCTCTTCAACCTACTCTCTGAAAAGTTCCTGTATTAGAATGAAATATCAGTCTGCTCTTCTCTTGTCTTAATTAGGTACTGTTTTCCTAGAACTAGAAACAGAACCACAATGGATAAGAAAAAATCGATTCTCCTTTTTTTCGCTTAGGAAAACCTAGCTTGACTGCTTGTACAGAATTGCAATATCTATGTGTAAATGTTGACAGGGTCGGGACTTCGAGAACCCCCCGCCAGGATCAGTAGTGGACAACACTATAACAAGACGGACGCTGTTTGACTTCTTCTTGGTGTCGCAGTTGGTGCGTCAGGGAACTGTCACGCCAACACATTACGTGGTTCTTCACAACTCCACACACCTGGACCCTGACAAAATACAGAAGTTGACGTACAAAATGTGCCATCTCTACTATAACTGGCCTGGAACCATCAGAGTGCCTGCTCCTTGTCAGGTATGTACAAAACAACCGTGGTTTGAGAAAAAAAACTTAGAGCAATAGAGCCTTGGATTCAAGGATTTTTTTAGGATGGCACGCTTGACTAGCAATGAGTTTACTCTTTACACAAGAAGCCTTAACTTAACATAAAAAAATTTGAATATTTAGCTGGCACAGTTAATATGTTAAAATAGTTATATTTTAAGGACAATTTGCGAGATAAAACTTAATGCTTATTTGGCTTTAAATTGCTCTATCATCTCTGCAACCACCAAACTAATCTCTGATGTTGTTGACTTGTTAATTAATATTATTCAACCTTGTGTTACAGTATTCCCATAAGCTCGCCTACCTCGTGGGTACAAGTCTCCACAAAGAACCATCGCGTGTCCTCTCTGACAGGTTGTTCTTCTTGTAAGGCCTCACTCTGCTGCTGCGTATCACCACTTAAGACTGAACAACATGTACAATTAATTGTCAATAATTGTAGTTTAAGCAACATAAGTATTTTTTATACAATCAAGAAACAACTACATACTTAAAGGTTATCAAAACATTCCCCAAGTTTATCCTTATGTAAACTACATCCGATTTAGTATGGATATATTTTTGTTACCATCGAGTTTTTGTGAGTAGTGTTGTCAAAAGTTTAGACGTCTAACCTGTGTTTAGTGTGACTTGATATGTGTTAACAAGAGAGAGGATTTTACTTGATTTGATCTCTTCCAATATTTGTGTTTAATGTTATTAAGATTGTTTAATTAATATTATATTAATTAAGTTAGTTATTATTGTTGTTTTGATATAAGTATTTTATATAGCAGACTCTGTTATCAAAGTAAATGTGAACAATGTGTTAAACATGTTACGGGTTTTATGAGTCGTCTCTTATTACACAATTTTGTTCAACTTTTTCTGTTCAAATATCATGAGATAGTTAATATCAAAGATGATATTTCTTCCTTTTTTCCTTTGTTACCACCGAAGCAGTATTCATTCTTCTATCTGGTTGTATACGCTTCCTGAAATTTGTGTTTTGTAATATTTTGAAGTTTCTTTAGTCAGTAAAGTATAAAAATAAAATCTTTTCACACTCATATTGTCAAATTGTTAAAAAGTAGATCTTGCTTTTTAGTTTCACTTTTCCAATAATTATTCGGTAAAACCTCAAATATTATTTTTTTTTTTCTCACTAACGGTAATTTGCTAAAGCCAATCAGTAAGAAAATTAAAAAAAGTAGAGGAGTTTTAAAATTGTACTACTATTTGCCACAGTAAATAAATTTTACAATGTGTACATTACATGCTGTGTTTTAAAAGATAACATTATGATATTCTTAGATATAAATCTATATTCAAAACTTGTACATTTCTATCTATGTGAAATTCATTCATTGATGAGAGGGAAGAAGAAAAAGAGAAGTTGTATTTGTGTATATAGTTAAGACCCATTTCATAATATCCTTTAGTTATAGTGTTAATTCAATTCTTATTGATGAGGTGTTTTTTGATATTAAACTGTTACTAATGTTGTTAAAAGGTTGACTATATCTTGAGTCTCTTTCGTATCCTTGTTCATCTCAAAAATACAAATAAAATAATTAAAACAATTTTTTTAAAATATTAATGTAGTAAACAAAACAATGTATTTTAAAAAATCCAAATCTGATTAAAAATACTTTTACGCCATACTACACTATTTTGATGAACTTCCCACGCAAGAATTTAGTCCAGAAAACAGCTTTTTGCCGCCAGCTTAATCAAATGGGGTTTCATTGCGTACTTACTGTGCTGTAATGAGCTTTACCGGACACCAATCAGCTGAGTATACTGTATTTGCGTGGCAATAAATGTTCATAAACAAAAACATAACCTCTCTTAGAGATTACGACTAGTGATTTTAAGTCCTTTAGTTAGTGGTCATATATAAAGATTTGTAAAGATTTAGTAGTATGGCGTAAACTATCGTACGTAAGTCGACCAAAATGTGTTTACCGGACTCGTATGGTAATCCCGAACTCGACTTCGTCTCGCACGGGAACGTCCACACTCGTCCGGTAAACACTTATTTTCAGGACTAGTAACGTAGTATACTATTACGCCACACTACACTATTTTGACCAACTTCCCACGCAAGGATTTAGTCCAGAAAACAGCTGTTTGCTGCCAGCTTAATCAAATGTGGTTTCATTGCTTACTACTGTACTGTAATGAGTTTTACCGGACACCAATCAGCTGATTATACTGTATTTGGGTGGCAATAGGCAATGAGTAGTTATAAACAAAAACATAACCTCTCTTAGGCTACGGCCACACGGGCGTTTTTTCACGCAAGAACGCAGCGTGAAAAAAAGCGAGAAATATGAGCAGCATTAAATGTAATGAGGTATGCCACACGCAGCGTTTTTTTTTTCACGCAGATGCAATTTTTTAAATGTGATTTTTTAAAGTCTGCGAAATCACCCGCCGCGGGCCCGCAGAAGGATGGACTGGGGTGCATTTTTGAAGCTTGTTTTCACGCTCTGTCCCTGGCCACACGGGCGGGAGCAACACGCAGCTTTGATCAAGTAGTTCTAGCAAGTAAAATAAAGATAAATGTATCTAATTTTTTCCAGGATAGTGTAAAATATTTTTGGGTCTAGCCAAAAACACAGTAGGCTCTTAAACATAGGTCGACCTTACTGGACCAGTTAATAATTTGTTACTAAAAGGAAAGGCGTTTGGTTGGACTAAAAAATGTAAAGTGGCATTTATGTAGTAGAATATACAAAGATCTGATGAAAATCGTGCCATAAAAATATTTGTATTATATTTAATTTTTTAAACTAAATGTTAAATTAAAATAATTTTAGTGTTGTTTTCATATTGAAATTAATATATTATATTTATTTCTTTTATACTAAATGTAAATAATTAAATGTAAGGTTAACAAAATAAAATAATTTTAATGTACCAACATTAATATGCCATTCATATTTCTTGTTCACTAGTCAGAAACAAGGTATTTATATAATTATAAATATAATTTATATAATATTTATATTTTTATTTCTGTCATTAGGAAGATATACAACATAATTACGTGAATTCGTCAATCAACTGCGGGTTCCGAGTGCATTTTCCCGCTCCTGGACTTCAACGGCGTGAGAATAAGCTACATTTTACCGCGTGAAAAAAACGCCCGTGTGGCATACAACAGCGGGAATTCAAGCAGCGTGAAAATAAGCTACATTTTACCGCGTGAAAAAACGCCCGTGTGGCCGTAGCCTTAAGAGGTTATGACTACCTAGTGATTTTTAGTCATTTAGTTGGTGGTATTATATAAGGATTTGTACAGATTTAGTAGTATGGCGTAAACTATCGTACATCACTCGTCCAAAATGTGTTTACTGGACTCGTATGGTAATCCCGTACTCGACTTTGTCTCGCACGGGAACGACCACACTCGTCCGGCAAACACTTATTTTCAGGACTAGTAACGTTATATACTATTTCAAACACCCAACTTAAAAATACATTTTTAAATACATTTATTTTAAAGTAAATAAAAGAAACGTCTAATAACACTTACAACATAAATTTACGCTTATACTGTTACTCACAAGACGACAAATACCCCCGACGCAGCAAACCTGCAGACTAAGCGAATTTCAACTTGTCTGATTACATTATTACTAAAATATTTCCATGAATCAGACATATTTATTCCCATTTTAAATAACGTTAGATTTAACGAGTGCTTAGGTTCGCTGCTACGGGGAAGATAAAAAGTGTTTTTTGACCATACGCCAATAGTATAGGATGAACTTAATAAATTTGCCAAATTTTATCAACATATATCCATAAACAAGTAAACTACAACAGTTTTCATTTTCTCCATAAGAATAACATAGGAATTTTAAATTACACTATTTTTTATTTTTCTCCATGACCGTTAAGCATACAACAGTGCTTCAATATACCGGTACTAAATTATTTCTTTTTTTAAGCTCTACAAAACGGTTTTAAAAAGTATAATTGCAAATTTTTTTGTTTTTAGGGTCAAAAACGGGAAAACCCCATTTTTACCCCATAAAACCTCCCATAAACCCCCGTTCCCATGGTCCGATCGTGCTGGATCATGTGCTAACAGACACACACACACATATATATATATATACTAGCAGAGTACCCGTAGGGGGTTGGAATATAAGTATAAAATGCTTATTGCAGTTATACTCAAGCTTTGCGTTTGCAATAAGGGAGGACACAGTTTGATAAAATTTGATTTTTTAAATTTACAGTATTCTATAGTATTACATCTACCATAGCCATAATGTTCTACCACTTCACCTAAACAATAGAAAAAAATAAATTATCAATAATTCACAAAATATCACAAATTATTCATGAAATGAAGAACATAAACATAACTGTAAACAATCCTACTTTGACAGTTCTCATTGTGAATCACAGTTTTTTGTTGCTGCTTAAATTAGCTGTTTTCATAAATGCAAAAAAATATAGTGCTGCACCCTGTTGGTAAATCTTGTAACTTTTTAATGCTTTTCCATATCATAGAACCATAGCTAAAACATACTCTAGTCTATGATAGAACCAACTTTTTTAGTTGGAACAGCTGACTAAATTCTTTAATTCCCTTTAAATGTGAATCCTCATAAGGTTAACATCAGTTATTATCAATTATCAATTAGTTAAGATGGGGACGCCACTATGTGCGTATTTTAACCCAAATATGAGTGAAGGATGAGTGGCGCGATCTTGTAGTCTTGTTAGTGACTAAGGCCGACATGTTCCTTAGACACAGCTGTTAATTAATAGCCCATACAGCTAATGGCAACTAAGGGACCTACAGTTTATAGTGGAATCCGAACCACATTTTTCCTTGTAATTTACGAATTGGTCTAATTATCAGGATAGTACTGCGGATAGTCGTACTCACTAGTGCGGACGTTAATCCACACCAGGGAGCATCGCACCCACAGTGCATCCCTATAAATATCCACAATTCGTTACCTCCTAGTAGCTGGATTACAGGACGACGCCACCCGTCCCAGTCATGGGGAATTACAGAGCCACTGGGGTGGAGCCCGAAAGGATTTTTGAGATAAGAATATGCCTATCCTATATATGTTAATCGGGAATGTAAGCTATCAGCTATCATCATGCCAAATTTCAGCCCAATCCGTCCAGTGGTTTATGGTGATTGAACTTCAAACACACAAACTTTCACATTTATAATATTAGTAAGATATGAATTTGAACGTATGGTGTTTTTGGCTTCTAGGGACATCAAAATGAAAAAGTAAATCGGTCCCCGGTCCAACTCTTACCATTTTTATCAATTTTTAGCGAATTTCCCTATAGGGAAGTAGCTATTACCGTAGGTCTCATGGTAAGACTTAGGCCCGGGACCGATTTACTTTTTCATTTTGATGTCCCCAGAGGCCAAAAACACCACTCGTTCAAATTTTTATATATGTATATATATATATATATATATATGTGTCCGTGAACACGATAACTTGAGTAATTTTTATCCGATTTTGATGAAATTTGGTTTGAAGGTGTAAGGCGGGATAAACTTGAATGAGTTTGCGATCCAGCATGATCGGACCATGGGAACAGGGTTTTATGGGGTAAAAATTGGTTTTTCTCACTTTTGACCCTCAAAACACAAGATTTCCCAATTTTTCTCTAAACCTTCTTAAAGAGCTTAAAAAAACAAACAATTCAGTATATCAAAGTGTTTTTGTACGGTTATTGGTTACGGAGAAAACTAAAAAAATGGTAAATTTAAAATTCCCATGTTATTCTTATGGAGAATATTGTAAAATGTTGTAGTTTGCTTGTTTATGGATATCTTTTGATCAAACTTGGCAAATATATTCATTTTATACTAAGCAATAATTATTTTACTTAAAACACACACTTTATTAGTTTCCTTGTAGCAGCAAACCTAGGTACTCGTTAAACCTAATGTTATTTAAATAGATCAATTGAAAATCAATTCAGCCAAATGGAAATTCGCTTAGGCGTCAGGTTTGCTGCGGCGGGGGTATTTATCTATGGCAGGAGCAGAGCAACATCGGTAACAGAAAATATAATCTTGACTATAGGAAAGCAACAATTTAACAAAAAAGTACAAAATAAATTATGAAAAAGCAATAACAAAGATTAGAATTTGGTCTGGCAATACAGTCATAAACAATCGATCAGCAAAAGCAAGGTAAATCTTGGCTAGGAAAGCTATAATCTTATCTTATTAATATTATAAATGTGAAAGTTAGTGTGTTTGTTTGTTTGAAGTTCAATCACGCATAAACTACTGAACGATTGGGCTGAAATTTGGCATGATGAGAGCTTATATTCCTGATTAACATATAGGCATATTCTTATCTCAAAAGTCCTTCCGGCTCTCCCCATGTTTACCTTATGAGTATTCATATTTAAAGGGAATTAAAGAATTTAGTCAGCTTTTTCAACTAAAAAAGTTGGTTCTATGATAGGAAATAGTTATTTTCCTACAGTTGCCTAAAAATGAACATGTTCTCTCACTGATTTGA